ATCGAATTCACGACATGTTAGTGACCGCCACTTCAAGAAAGGTATCAACATCGAACTGTATGCTCTCCCAGAAAAGCAGCAACCTGGATCTTCTTGAGCTCCATTTAGGTGCTCCTCTATCCTCACGCAGAGAGGCCTGTCTATCTCTCCGATGTAGTCCTGTTTGCACAGAAGGCACGAACCACTAATCGGTGTTTCAAGGGACATTCCGGTGTGGGACAGCCGTTTTCCTGTGCTCTGGCACCTTTTCGAGCGATTCAGCCTTTTCGTCGCTTCCTGATGAAACTGTTGTGGCGGTGCGCATCATATTTCTAATGATGGCCTTCTTCGTATTAGAGGGGTGTACAGAACTGAAATGGATCAGTATGTTCTTACTAGCCGGCTTTTGATACCATTTCGTCTTGAAAGTACCCGCAGTGATCTGAACCTGAACATTGAGAAAAGCGAGCCAACTGTCTGTCGGTTTTTTCTGTGATCGCTTTTTATGTTCCGGTAGACTATTAGGCAGTTTGGAACAGGTGAAAAAATGGACGAAGATCTTCACTGTCCTGTCGGCATATAGACGACTGCTTAATTGTGTGTTCCACCCAAGTGGAGATGGTTAAAGGAACACCTGGATGGCGTGAGAAGATCCTATGTTGCTAATCCACAGAGAGAGCATAGAGTTCGATGTCATGGGGATACTTCCCGAAGTGGCGGACACAACACTGCCGTGAATCCGGAATTGCGGCGCGGCGGACTTGGAGGTTTCTTTGACCCCCCAAGTCGCCTAGGCTTCTAGAATCGATAGGAGGGAAGAGTGTGTTGCGTTCACTACAAAGATGGCACCCTTCGCGGCCTTGTGTGTCTTTTGACCTAGGTGATCAATTCCCCACGAGGTCTTCCCGGCGGGGCAAGGTCGAGGGCTACTGCCAGGGTGAACATCGGTCGAGGAAATCCTCGACAGGGGGTCGTATTTGCTCCGATGAGAGTTGGGAGGGGGTCGTAATCAAAGGTTCATCAACGGACACAACGGTGCTCATTCGCTGATTATTAATTTCGCAAGTGTTTCAGTTGACGTAACAAAAGTAATATTTTACATTTATCTGGAACTAAAATCACTTCATTATATAAACCAGAACTTTGGTGTGTCGGTTTGTCGGTGTGTGTGTGCGTGTGTCGTTCTGTCCGTCCGGACCAACCGCTAACAAAACCAGGGAGTACGAAGGGCAACACTTCGTGATGTTGATGTCATGATCATGATAACACCACACGGCTATATAAACACCGATCGAGCACACTCAGTCTCATTCTACATGGTGCTGCCGTGGCAGCTGGAGGGAAGGGCAGGATGGGGCGGGGAAGGCAGGGGTATGGCAGGAGCGGGGAGAGCGGGGGGAGAATGTGTGTGTTAGAGAGAAAAAGGGAGGGAAGGTTCAGGATATGAAGACATTCATAGCTCACAAGTCTTGAGCTATCAATGTTTTGTAGAAGAACCAGTTTAGCTCCGCCCGCTACCGCGCGCATTGATAGAACTGACAATCGATGAAGCTTTAGGTTTCACCGCTAAATTATAGCTGCTTCGTTAAATGTATTACTGTCCGTTGCATAGGCTGCCCATCTTGGCTGTATCTCACTGTTTGATAAGCGCAGTGAAGTGCACAGCTAAAGTGATGATGTAAACAACCACTATGCGTCGAGTATCGAGGTAATTTAGCGGTCGAATATCTCAAAACGGAATGCCTAGTATTCATTATCATATTTATTCGAGCATCCCATTCATCCTCAAGAACTCTAGAAGGTGTAGCGGTCGGAAGGAGTTTACAATTACAACGCTGATGAAATGATATTGAAATGAAAGGCATTATCTACAATCTGCTCTCTATTTTCTATTTCAAGTGCTCTCTACGTTCGTACGCATATCGTTACTATCAGTCCTCATCAGTCGTTATCACTTTTTGACCCCACCAAATATGTTCCCGTCCCACCCCCTATATCATGCCCCAAAATCAGCTCCTGACGACTGCTGCGAAGCGCACTATGAATTTCGTGAAATTTGTGTTTCAGCGCCTCTTATCTGCTCTTATCAGTCGTTATCACTTTGTGACCCCCACCAAATATGTTCCCGTCCCACCCCCTATATCATGCCCCAAAATCAGCTCCTGACGACTGCTGCTGCGAAGCGAACCTTCTATTTTATAAAGCGCTAACTTTGTGTGTCGGTTTGTGTATCTGTATGTGTGTGTATGTATGTATGTGTGTCCGTCCGCAAAATGAAGTGAGTGAGAAGGAAGCTCATGGGATAAACAAACCGCTAACAAATCGGGTAGCTTACAGGATTTGAGATATCAATGTTTTGTAGCAGGATAGTTGTGATAACCTTCTATTTTATGAAGCGCTAACTTTGTGTGTCGGTTTGTGTATCTGTATGTGTGTGTATGTATGTATGTGTGTCCGTCCGCAAAATGAAGTGAGTGAGAAGGAAGCTCATGGGATAAACAAACCGCTAACAAATCGGGTAGCTTACAGGATTTGAGATATCAATGTTTTGTAGCAGGATAGTTGTGATATCCTTCTATTTTATAAAGCGCTAACTTTGTGTGTCGGTTTGTCTATCTGTATGTGTGTGTATGTATGTATGTGTGTCCGTCCGCA